AAAACAAAACAAAACAAAAAAATAAAACCCAAAAAACAAACTAATTAAGACATGCGTGTCCGTCAACCTTAAACAATAACCTTTGTCAATTTTATTTTTCAGTCTTTATGATGGTCGATACTTGATCTATCTCTTACTGTTACATCCCCGGGTAACGCCGGGTTCTACTGCTAGTAGTGAATAAAATTTTCGCAGTTTAAGCGGAGACATCAGAAGTATCGAGCAGAAGTAGACTTTAGAAGGAACCGGAAACCCAATTCTAAATAGGAAACAAGGGATAAATCTCTACTCCTGTTGAAAAACTGGGGAGGAGAGTGCGAACTACAGCCTACACATTAAAATTTTTTTTTAAATTAAAGAATAAAATGGCTCCCCCACCCTTCTGACATAATAAAGGGAGAGAATATGTTATATTTTTCTTTTTCTTTGAGTGTTGAAAATTTTTTCCCAAGCTGCATAAAAAAAAAAAAAAAAATTCTTTCCGCTTTCTTATCAGGGACATAAAACAAAATAACTTCCGTGTTACTTAGGAAGAGCAGCTGAAAAATTTGAGGCTACACGAACCTAGAATACGAGAAAGACCCATCAAAATTTCATAGATTTCCTATTTGAATCTTCTGATGAATAATTCTTAAGTTGATGGTTGAATAAACACATGGCGAGTTCTACAAAAAAATAAAAAAATCTATAAAATGTCTATTACATCGTTAAACATTTGAGCTTATCAACTTTAACAAAATATTACAGTAAAAATCATAAATATGAAAACTGGTCGTTATTTGAAGAAATGGGGCACAAATGAAAAGATTTGAAACCGTCAACTTTTTCCATTTCACTAAAACAGACGTTAAACACTTCCATCATTCCTTCTTTCTTTCTTTTTCACACTGAAACCAAGCAGCGTCCTTGATATGCTTTTCCGTTATTCCACGCGATCACAACGGAATAGTTCATTATATGAATTATTTTCAGACGTTAAATCCTTCTATCGTCTCTGTTTCTTTCTTTCTTTCTTTCTTAATTTATTTATTTCTTAATTTATTTATATATTTCCGTCTTGCCACGCGATCAAAAGGTACTCTAGTTCATTATTGATGAGGTATTGGTAAGAGGCGTTAAGCACATATCCCAGTCTGTTCATATCTATCTCACTGCTCATAGATATCTATATCTTTATCTCACTCTGTTCGTATCTATCTATTTCTCTCATTCTACTCAGATCTATCTATCTATCTCTCTCTCTCAGATCTATCTATCTATCTCTCTCATTCTACTCAGATCTATCTATCTATCTCTCTCATTCTACTCAGATCTATCTATCTATCTCTCTCATTCTACTCAGATCTATCTATCTATCTCTCTCATTCTACTCAGATCTATCTATCTATCTCTCTCATTCTACTCAGATCTATCTATCTATCTCTCTCATTCTACTCAGATCTATCTATCTATCTCATTCTATTCATATCTATCTATATATCTCGGATATATTTATATACATATCGTTCTTTCCATCATTCCACGGGATCAAAACATAATAACATTCTTTATTAAGGATTGGCAGGCTGCAATGGCTGTGCTAAAAAAACCAGTTCTTTCAACTGAACAGCCACATTACTCACATTGTCAAACCGATTACATTTGGGAAGGCTTGTGAAGAACCAACCACATTTTTTTTGAGAGAACTGAACACAGACAAATGGTGCAGACAGTGTGCCACAACGTCTTCAAACACCCTCCCCTGGTTTTCAGGTTTTTCCTTCTCCTGGACTGGTTGCCAAACAAGGCTATAAGTCTGTCTTACAATTAACAGCTTGGGAGGGGGCTGAGCACAAATGAATTCGTACCTCGTAAGGGAAAGTGAATGTGACAGACTTAACTGAAATTCCAACACGGCTCTCCTATTTTTCATTCTAAGCTGCATATCCATATATATATATATATATATATATATATATATATATATATATATATATATATAAGGAAAGCCGTTATCTTTATTCATATTGTCCTTTTACAGATAAAATATATTTTAGTTATATCTGAAAAGTTACACACACATTTCATAACATTTGTTTCCGGGTCTGTGATGTTTGGTCATTTGGGCAGAACCGTTCAATATCACATCATATAGATAGAATTGAAGACGCTGAGATAGATAGATAGATAGATAGATAGATAGATAGATAGATAGATAGATAGATAGATAGATAGAATTGAGAAGACTTTAGATAGATAGATAGATAGATAGATAGATAGATAGATAGATAGATAGATAGATATGAAGACGCTGAGATAAATAGATAGATATTGAAATGTTCTCAGTTTGTCCAGGAGATTTTAATAAAATCTATTTTAGTATTTTAGGAAAAGTTTTTTTTTACCGATATCCTTTCAGCACAATTGGTATAACACGGTCCTCGAGAGGGGGAAATATTCAAGGTACTGCTACCCAAAACTTCGAGAATAGGACCTTTTAGCCGCTATTCTTTGTGGGATCGTTCTACACCAAGCTAGGAGACTACTTCGAAGGAGACGGTAGAAACGAAGTGTTAGATTCTTTGAATTTTGTGAGCAACACCTTGGAACAATGTGTAACATTGGAACCCCAAGTAACACAGGTTTAGTAGTAGTTTTAATTTTTACAAAATAAACACGAGTGAAGTTTTGTATATATATATATATATATATTATATTAAAAAGAAGAGAGAAACCGCAAACTTTTTTGGTTGTGATGTGGATTTTTTTTTTAAATATTATGCTTTATTTTCCATAATTTCAGTTCGAAAAAGACATTTCGGTCATTAACACACTAAAAAGAGAATGTTCCATATCGAAAATACTTAACATCGAAAAATATAAGAAAAAATTTCATTATTTTTAATAATATGTGGAAATCTCCACGCTTTGCCTGATGAAGGTCGCGAGACCCTAAACACATGTAGAAAAATTATGGAAAATAAAACATAATGTATTTTTTTTTTAAATCCACATTACAACCAAAAACGTTTGCGGTATCTCTTCTTTATAATACAGTGTAACCCGGATATAAGAGAAACCCGGATATAAGAGAAACCCGGATATAAGAGATATTTTCTCTGGTCCCAAATTAGAGCCTGTGTTAATGTATATAAAATAGACCAAACCCGGATATAAGAGAAACCCGGATATAAGAGACTTCTTCTCCGGTCCCGACAACTCTCTTATATCCGGGTTACACTGCTATACACACTTTTCTCTCGTTGGAACTACTATAACCTATTCCCTTTATATACATAACATACACACACACACACACACATATATATATATATATATATATATATAGAGAGAGAGAGAGAGGGGTGGGGGGGAAGCACCCAACATTAGGATATCTTTCTCAGTAGGAGATCGTACACTGAAGTGTAAATTTAGCAGAAGTACATTTGAGTGTGGCACAAGGACGCTGGGAGAGGTGGAAATCTAGTCATTAACTATACGACTCATAGCTAGTTCGATTCGAGACCAATTCCTTCAAGCAATTGACACAATCACAAGTTCGAACATGTACCAAAATACCGCATTTTCACATGGAACCTGATACTATGCATTCACGATGGTCAAAGTGTCGGTAAATTTGCAGATAATCTCCCAGTGACAAATTAAAAAAATATATATATATCATTCCTGGTGTAAAATTCGTCTGATTATTCCAATAAAATAGCATTAAAAATTAGCGGAAATCTACCGTTTTTAGGGGATATTGACAATCTTTTAGGGGTCCAGAGTACCCTCAATGTATTTTTCTTTTCTTTATTTATTTATTTATTTTTTTTTGTCATTGTGGCATTATCTGTACGTTCCAGTTTTTTTTTTGTTTTTTCCCCATTTCACCCCATTCAAGGCGGGAATGTGACTAGCACGCAAGGGGTTACAGAGAATGAAAGTAAAGGTAAAGAGGGGGTGTTTGAGCAAAAGGATAAAGAGAAGGACGGTGATGAAGACCAAGGCCTCAGAAGATATGTCGATTGACATTACATTTAAATTTTTGAAGATTATAGTTATCCGGGAAGCAAGTATGAGGAATGGATTTCTACTGTCGGGAGATGCGAAAAAAGAATCTGTTGGGACAGAAGAGGCGGTTACATTTTCAACTGTTTCGATAGTAAAAGAGTGGGACCAACCTGCCAACCAAGTAGGTAAACTTTCGCGAAGTAATCGAGAGTAACCGGGACACAAGATTGTCGATATCTCCTAAACAGTAGATTTACACCAATTTTTAATGCGATTTTTGGAATAAACAGGCGATTTTATACCAGGAATGATTTTTTTTTTTTAAATTTGTCACTGGGGAATTATCTGCAATTTTTACCAAAATTTCTGGATATTTGTACATTTTTTTGTATATTGAAGTGCGTGTAATTTTTTGTTTAAATCACGTAAAAACTTAGTTTGATCATTGTGATTGATGTCATCCTTCAAGAGACTTGAAATTGTTTCTTAACCAGACGAAAAACCGAAATGGTTGACAACTAATTTGTATAGTATTTACATTAGTCGGACTATTGTCCTCATCTTTGTCGCCATATTTGTCACAACGTTTCGGCCGTTGTACGCTCCGGCCTTCTTCAGGTGGTTGAACTAATTTGTATTGTAGTACCATTCGAAAGTACTCGGTGTGTTAGAAGTAAATAACAAAAATTAAAAAAATAAAAATTCGAAAATATTAAAAAAAAAAAAAAAAAAAAAAACTGAATAGAAAATTGGATAGACAGAACTTGTCAATATTGTTCAACAATATTTATTTACTTGGTTAAAATTAAAAAGGAATTGATTTTTATGAAAGTAAGTTGTCGGGGGGTTCAGTTTGCTATGTAAATTAATCCTCCTACTAATAAAAGCCAAAAAATATATTCATACGGCGTGATTTCTAAACTTTTTTTTTAATTTGTCATCTGGTTTGCTTAATGGATAATAGTATATGAAAAAAAGGACTTCAGATTATAAATATGTATTTTTTACATTTTATTTTTAAGAAGTCGCGTGGAATGTGCTAACCGTAAACGAGTATATATTTTGTTTCGACTTTTGTAAGAGGATCTACAATGAATTTAACAAAAAGAACTTCCTATTAACACACACACATATATATATATATATATATATATATATATATATATACACTAGCTTAAAAGACGCCCTATCGGGTGGCATAAGCTAGCTCCGGTGGAGAGCTCTTGATTTGGCGTTCATCACAATAGGTAAGGGTGAGTAGGTGCGATAGACAACAATAAACTACAGAAGAACTTAAAATTGATCGCTGCATTTAAGTATTGCATTAATATCTAAGCTTACCTTTTAAAAGTTTAACGATAATTCTTCTGCCGCCACTTAATTTAAAAAGATAATTTGATGTACGTAGGTCCTTATTTTCCGCACAATCAATTATTTTTATTTCATATTTACTTTCGCTGGAATTCGCAATTCATTTCAGTTATTCCCAAATTTATTTAAAAGTTATAAAAATTGTTATCGCACAAAAACGTTTCTTGCAAAAAAATAATCACGTAAAAAATTCGTCAAAAACAATTGCTGTAACGAAAACTTGGGAATCCAAAATTTCAGGATTGCCGGTCCGGATCCAATCCGGAATGTTTTTAATTTGCTCACGGAGTCGGCCTGATTCCAAAATGATATGTTGGGCTACGGTCTCTTGGAGTAATGTTGAAAAAGCGTGACACACTAACATTCGCATTTATTTATATAGGTTTATATTCGTGATCGTGAGCTTATAGTATGGGAAAAAAATGAAAATAAAAAGATAATTTCTGTTTGCCTCTTTTACAGTTCCAGAGCGAGGCTCGATTTAATTAAAAATTAAACATCTATTCATTTTAAAAATAAAAACGCGTGACACACAGTGCCTATTCTAAAGAAGTAATTGATTTTTTTATTTATTAATCAAACAGATTTTATTATTATTATTAATAGTAGTATTTTAGTTTAAAGCAGTCGTTCTCAACCTTTTTTTTTTTAACCCATGGACCACTACTTTTACTTAACTTCTTGTTGGTGAGCCCCCATGATCATTCGATGATAATTAAAAAAAAAAAAAAAAAAAAAAGTTTATTTTATTTTTTTACTAATAAGTTTAGGAATTGTATTATAGAAATAGAAAAGTATATTTTATTTTTGGAAGATTTTTTTTTTTTTTTTTATGGAAGACGACTAAAAAAGGGCGCTAATAAAAGCTATTTTACAACAAATAAAAACACCGATTCCAATCAATATAATTTCTGTTTGAAATACATCAGAGTATTTTGCTTACTGGAAATAGTAAATTTAATCCTTTAGCTTTTAATTAAAGCTAAAAAGAAAGCTTCAATAAAGCTTTTTCATTTATAAAAAAAATAATTTTAAACCTTATGTATCGAAAATTAGTTGAGGTACGTGAATGTATATATGCTTTATTTTGAAGTAAAACTAATTTAATGAAAATAAACGCATCTTTAACGACTAAATTCTATAGATCATTTATGTACACTAGCAAAATAATTCTAAATAAATCATTTTAAAATATGTGAGTAAATAACTCCAATTTTCTATTTTATTGTGCGGACTTCAGTATGGTCTATATGGATTTCGGTTTAAGAACCACTGCTTTTATTTAAAGTAAACGTTACTTTCAGTGGGTACCCATATTAAACAATATATTTATTTATTTCCGTCTTGAATATTCAGGCACGTAGACGAGAATAAATATACTGTTTAAATAAACTGAACGTCTACTCAAATATGGGTATCCAATAAAAATAAGGTTTAATTAAAAATAAAATAATAAAAATGCTTATTATTATTGTAGAATTCAAGACCGAGGAACGTTAACGACATATGAAAATTCTTCATTAAACAAAATCTTATACTCACAGTGGGGAAATATTTGAATTTGATCCATCAACCTTCGACTGGGGAGATTTGCATTTAAATTCGTATTCCTCTTGGAAATGACCCATGTGATTGATTTTATGGGTTTTTTTTTTTTTTTTTTTTCGGTAAAAGCAGAATCCGGTTCGAGCAGCTGACTTGTTTTTCCTTATTACTTGTCTTAAATTAGCTCTCTAAAAATTTCTGCAAATTCTTACAAGAGAAAATCATTTTTTTTTTTTGTTTTGTTCTGTTCCTTCTCGCGACGTTTCAAAATATTACTTAAAGCTCGCGTCACACGCGGCGCAATATTTTCGACGGCAGGCGAGAATGACGGATAGAAAGGAGAAAAAAAAAAAAAAAACAGAGAGAGAGAAAGAGAAAAAGAGCTCTTTACCGTTTACGAATTTCAGCGCAACTGAAAACTCAAAATTCATTGGTAGGAAGATAAGCAAAGACAGAGACCGGCCGTCACTTGACTGATCCAAGCAAGCAGACAGTCTGGCATCGCCAGAGACTAGACGGCGTCATTTCGAAGGCAGGAAAAAAGAAGAAGGAAAACAAAAAAAAAAAAAAAAAAACATAGCTGTGAGGAGAGGTGGAGAATTTGTATATACAAACTTCCTTTCCCACTCCCAGTTTTTCATAATAATTGTAAAAACTTGATCTCTTGTGTGTGTATGTGTGTGAACGTCAAAAGATGGACGGTCGCAAGTCCGCGTTGTAGTTTGCGGACAAGAAAACCTTTTTTCTTTCTCCTTTCTTAGCAGAAAGCGTAAATTAAAAGAAAAAAAAATAATATTTCTGTTTTGTTTACGAGGATTTTGAATCTGTTAATAAATTGTCCAGTGTTGTTCGTTATTAGATTCGGTTTGTTTTTAAAATAACAATATATTCCATAACCAAGACAGCTGTCAACAATTTGAAGATAAAGTTGGAAAAGAGAAAAGTTAGTTAGAATAGGAGAGCCAATAGAGGAAAGGAGAGTGTGAGGAGAATAAAAAAAAAGAGAGAGGTGTGCAAAGAAAGAAAGAAAGAAAGAAAGAAAGAAAGAAAGAAGAAAACGAATGAGAGGAGTAAAGAGAGGAGAAAGTGAGAAAACAAGTTTGAAGAGAGAGTGGGAGGGGAAATTAAAAAATAGTGCAAATGAGAAAGGAGAGGAGAAAAGAGAGTGTGAAACTACAGAGGAGTTTGAAGAGAGATTGGAAAAGCAAAGAAAAGAGTGGGGAAACGGGAGATCAAATTAGAGAGGGGGGGAGTGAGTGGACAGAAAAAGAGTGTGAAAGAGCAAAGTGAAGTGGAGAGCAAGTAAGAGGGTAAGAGAAACGAGTGAGAGAGTGAGAGAGATGTTCAATGGGAGAGAAAATTAGAGAAGAGATTGAATGAGAGAATAGAATAGAGAAGAAAGAGAGCAAGTGAGGGAGAAGGAAAAAAGGAGACAGAATGGGAGAACAGAAAAGAGAGGGTGGGAATTGCAAGTTAGAGAATAAGAGAATAAAAAAAAAAGGGAGAGAAAGTAGGAATGCAAATGAGATAAGGAGAGCAGAAAGAAAGAGTTGGGGAGCAAATTAATGAGAAAGAGTAAAAACGAGAAGAGAGCGAGAGTAGAGAGTGTGAGAGAGCAAATTAAAGAGAAAAGAGAACGAGAGTTGAAACGAGAGGGGGAAAACGGTGAGAAGACAGAAACGAGTGAAGAGAGAGTGGGAGAATATATTAAAGGAAAGAGAGGAAACGAGAAGAGAGAGTGAGGGAGACAGAAACAAGAGGGGAGAGTGTGTGAGTACAGAAACGAGAGGAGACAATATGAGTGTACAGAAATGAGAGGGGAGCGTGTGGGAGAGCAAATTAGAGAGAAGAGAGACTAGAAACGAGAGGAGAGTGGGTGAGGTCACAGAAATGAGAGGGGGAGAGTGAGGGAGCAGATTAAAGAGAAAAGAGAGTAAAAAGGAGAACAGAGATAGTAAAAAAGAGAGGAGAGTGAGAGCACAGAAACGAGAGGGGATGAGGGTACAGAAATGAGAGGGGAGAGTGTGGGAGAGCAAATTAGAGGGAAGGGAGATTAGAAACGAGAGGAGAGTGAGAGCACAGAAACGAGAGGGGACAGTAAGGGAGAGAAGATTAAAGAGAGAGTAAAAAGGAGAAGAGAGAGAGAGAGAGTAGAAAGAAGAGGAGAGTGAGAGCACAGAAATAAGAGGAGAGTGGGTTAGATCACAGAAATGAGAGAGGAGATTGAGGGAGAGCAGATTAAAGAGAAGATTAAAAAGGAAATAGAGAGAGAGAGTAGAAACAAGAGGAGAGTGGGAGCACAGAAACGAGAGGTGATAGTGTGAGAGAGCAAGTTAAAGAGGAGAGAGTGAAAGAAAAGAAACAAAAGTAGAGAGTGTGGGGAGAGTAAATTAAAAAAGAGAGAGAAAAGGGAAACAGAAGCGGGATTAGAGAGTGTGGGAGTGCAAATTAAAGAGAAAAGAGAGTGGAAACGAGAGGAGAGAGAGAGAGTGCGAGAACAGAAACGAGAGTGGAGAGTGTGGGAGAATATATTAAAGAGAAGAGAGAGTGAACGGACAGAAACAAGAGTAGAGAGCGTGTGAGAGCAAATTAGATAGGGGGAGAGAGAGAGAGAGAGAAAGAGAGAGAGAGAGAGGACAGGAAAGAGAGAAGGAAGGGAGTGTGTGAACAGAAAAAAAAGATTATGCACTTGTGTATTCGGTTAAGCGAAGAATAAAAAACTGCAAAAAAAAAAAAAAAAAATAGGTAACCAGCCTTAATTTTCTTTCGCCATGAGCGTTTTTCATTTATTTATTTATTTATTTATTTATTTATTTATTTATTTATTAATGTTTTTCGGATGCATGATAAATAACACAATAATCTTTTCTACACACACACACACACACACACACACACACACACACACACACACACACACACACACACACAAAAAAAAAAATACATAACAAATGTCGATAATTGCCTCTTAAAAATTGCGTGTCGGCTTGCAGACTGCCTTCCACAATCAAAAACTTTATCTCTTCCTAATTCATTTTATTTTTATTTATTTATATTTACCTGGTGATTTGCAGGAGTTCTGAGAACGTAAAAGAGATTCTTTTATGCAGGATTATTTTATATTTGTGATCTGTATTTCCGAATTAAGGACAATGTCTCATTGTCTCATTCCCCTAGGTGGACGATATCACAGGGTGAATTTATTAAATAGATCCATCAAAACTTACATTCACGCTAATTGAATACATACAGAGTTACATAGTCAATACTAAAAGCATCTATAGAAATTCATTGGAAATGATTTGACTATAGGAATGCATTAGAAATGATTAGAATATTAGCTCTTTATGGAACCTGGAATATTATGGCTAGGATTTATTAAACAAATCCATCCAAACGTTCATTCCATCTAATCGTTATTTTATCTAGTGATACGACATATATAGAAAATTCCTGATAAAATTACGATATTTATAAAAATTTGTTCTAAAGGATGTAGCATCTTCTATGCTAAGAATTGAAAATGAGGAAAAAAGGGATTGTCAGTGGTCAGGAATTAATGCAAGCATTACTGATAGAATAGGGCTATTATATGTATAATATAAATGCATTGCTAATGATTTTACTATAGGAATGCATTGAAAATGAGGGAGAAAGGGATTGTCAGTGGTCAAGAATGAATGCAAGCATTACTGATAGAATAGGGCTATTATATGTATAATGTAAATGCATTGCTAATGATTTTACTAGAGGAATGCATTGAAAATCAGGAAGAAAGGGATTGTCAGTGGTCAGGAAATAATGCAAGCATTACTTATAGAATAGGGCTATTATATGTATAATGTAAATGCATTGGTAATGATTTTACTATAGGAATGCATTGAAAATGAGGAAAAAAGGGATTGTCAGTGGTCAGGAATTAATTACTGATAGAATAAAGCTATTGTTACAATATGTTATATATTTTACTATAGGAGTATATTGAAAAGTGTATTTGCAAAATCAAGGTTTTGTTTAAATAATACAAAACCATTTCTACTTCAATAGCATGTACCTATATTCACACACACACACACACACACACACACACACACACACACACACACACACACACAAACAAACAAACAGATACACACACACACACAAACACACACACACACACACACACTCCTCGGGCATATAAAATGCTTCTGCATCTACGCAGGCAATACACGCACCCCAACTTCTTTACCCTCGTTCTCATTTACGTGAGTGTGCCGTTAGTTCCCCGCCCGATCAATAAACCCTCTCCCACCCTCAAATCTGATGTTTGTTTATTTGGTAAGGTAGATAAATTTTCAGTGATCTCTTGTTTACTAGTTTCTACACAATGGCCGGCTACACGTTTCTAGGTTTGGCCATCTGCTAAAATGGCGAGTTATTCTCTATCGTTGACACCTGCTCTTTTTTTCGTTCTACACTCAATAAAGCCAACCCGTGGTTTATACCAATAATTCTCAACCTAGGCCTTTAGGTCCCAAACTAGGGCCGATAAGTATTTTAAACGGGCCTGGAGACACAAGAAGGAAATATTTGAAATATTTTTGACCCCAAAAACGGTCTACAAGAAAGAAAAGGTTTTTGAAATCACTGCACGAGAGGACAAATCAAGAACATTTTGTTGCCAGTTTTAGATTCAAAGATTTTTAAACTAGTATACTAATTTTTTTCTCGCCCAATATTTTTATTAATTTTTGACTAAGAAAATTTTTAATCTTTTAATTTTTAATTTTCATTTTTAAGATTGAAAAGAAAGAAGACATAAATCTGAAATTGAATGAGCATCTGGAAAATTCAACTTGACAAACCGGAATTATTTCGACCCCAAAAGAGGGCTGCAAGGATTTCATTATTGATTTATTTGTTTAACGGCACATCGACACCTTATGGATCATTTAATATCGAAATTTTATTTTCTTGGCTGTTTAAAGTAATAAAAAGACGATACAGGTTATTCTGCTTTCACAATTGAATACATGGTAGATGATGCTCAGCTTTTATGCATATATATGTTTGTGTGGACATAATTGCTAGAGGTAGTGATATGTGGGTTTTATGTTGTTTTGTTTAAGTTGTTTTTTGTAGTACATTTTGATTTTTTTAATTTTTTATATGGATTAATGTCATGAAATAGTACTCTTATGTTGGTTGACTTTGTATAGCGGCATACCAACACCTCTATGGGTTATTTAATGCCGAAATCTAAATATCTTGAACACAATTTTATGGCTTCAACTAAATATACTTTGAACGCAATTGTATGCCTTCAACTACAGATAAAATGTATTGTTGGTCATTTTGTTTAGCGGCATATCAACACCTCTATGGGTTATTTAATGCCGAAATCTAAATATTTTGAACACAGTTTTATGGCTTCAACTAAATATATTTTGAACGCAATTGTATGCCTTCAACTAAAAATAAAATGTATTGTTGGTCATTTTGTTTAGCGGCATATCAACATCTCGATGGGTTATTTAATGCCGAAATCTAAATATTTTGAACACAGTTTTATGGCTTCAACTAAATATATTTTGAACGCAATTGTATGCCTTCAACTACAGATAAAATGTATTGTTGGTCATTTTGTTTAGCGGCATATCAACACCTCTATGGGTTATTTAATGCCGAAATCTAAATATTTTGAACACAACTGTATGCCTTCAACCACAGATGATATGTATTGTTGGTCATTTTGCTATAAAATGAATTGCTGGTAATTTTACTATAGTTAGGTATTGTTGGTAATTTCTTTATGTAAAAATTTATTGCTGGTATTTTTACCATAAAAATGTAATTTTATATTTTCATCGTGTCTGGTTTTTGTGTGGAAGTTCACTATTTTCCCATAGCTGGGACCCCCACCCCCTAACAGGTGCTGCCATCCCGGGTCAGGATGGACCTGGGGACAAAAACAATTAAGAGATGGTTCTACGTTTCTCAAATTCTCCAATCTCCTGATCAGAGTTCATACCCGGGCCACCAGGAATAAAAGATTGATAAACACTGGTCTATACTACAACTACGGCCTTAGTTACTCCTCCTAGGAGACAGCGCACGATCTGGTTTGATCAACACTTTGAACAAGGCCAGTACACTCAAACTCTCGGTCACAATGACTTGTGATATTATGCTAGCATCAGCAGGCACGGTGGCATAATGGGTAGCGAATCGGATTTTATGTAATGGATTCGAATTCCAGTCGAATCCATTACATTACGTGCTTGGGAAAGGTATGAACCCTCTTCTTGAGCATTAGTAGTGAGTTCGACCTTCGAACCCAGGACAAAAACCTAGCGAACAAAATCCAACTCGCTATGTGTCATACGTGACATACGCTGACGACGCAGATTTTTTTTTTTTTTTTTTTTTTTTTACGCAATAGGTTGTCATTTCTTTTTGCGGTAGACCAGTTGCCATCCAAGTTTACAGAATCCGGTCTCTCCTGTTATTTACTCATAGCTGGGGGGAAAAAGAAGAGGATTCGTACCTTTCCCAAGAGTATTAGCACGTAAATAAATGTAATGGATTCAACTAGAATTCGAACTCGGCTCTCCGATTCCTCAATCCGAACGCGATTCATTACTCCAAATCACGGATCTAAAAAAAAAAAAAATTCTAGAAAATAAAGTTTAAAAAATTTAAATAATTCTTTTTATTATCGGATAATTTCCGAAAAGTTCAACAAAATTTAGCTGCCTCCACGGATGCCCTAAACATAGGCATACCATGATGAAAAAAAATGACCCAAAATTAACAAAAACAAAGTTTTATCATCAAGATCTTTATGTTATTTCTTAAGAGGAAAGACCAAAGCCCTTTTTTTTATTATTAAATTATATTTTTGATGCTTTTTAGACAATTCAAAATTCTAGTTAAAAATCTTGTATTTTTTCTTTTTTTGCGTCAGTTTTATTACCGAAGATTAGTGTAGGAAATTTTAGCGTCTTTTTTTCGTTATTTCGAAATTCTTGCAAAAATCAAATAATTGTTAGATTTTAATGAAACTTTCAGGACTCATTCACAAATGAATGAAATTATGTTAGAAATGTATTTGCTTTTAATCTGTTACCCCCACCCGCCACCATCACTTTTTTAATTTTAAGAAATTTCAAGAAATTAATTTTTGTAGAGCTTAATGTTTAAATTAGTTAAAAGCAGAAGTCCTTGGATAATTGAAATCATCACTTTTTTTTTCTTCTTTTTTTTGTAAAACAGGGCCCCTAGTTACAGAAAATCTGCTCTGAATCGTAAAATAAAAATGCAATAAAACTAAGACATTATTTAATTAGAAAAGACCGTTCTGGGTATGACGATAAACTACGTCCGACAGCAAGTCCTCTGAGCGTGCAACTACTTCTTACTACTTCTTCTGGTGTTCCCAGGTCCACCCTAACCCAGGGTCGTGGCACCTATTGGGGTCCCAGCTATGGGTAAATAGTTAATCCCCAAACTGGGGTCAAAACACTATGAAAGTGTAAAAATAGGTTTTAATATCAGCAATACATTTTTGTAAAAGAAAATATTACCAGCAATATATTTTTTATTGCCAACAATAAAAATCCTGTCGGCATTAAATAACCCAATGAGGTTGATATGCCGTAAACCAAACCAAACTAATTAGAAAAGCTTTTAATTGCTTATATGAATAAGATATATTACAAACACTATTATCTTTAAAAAAACAAAACTTTTCGATGAATAATAAATTTTTACAAGAATTCTTTTTATTTTAAAAAAAATTTAATGATATTGTTATTAAGTAAGCACTGTATTTACTAATCATAAATAGAAAAGCTTAGTACAACACATCGACCACTAATATTTTTAGAAGAATTTTGAAATTTGTTTGTTTTTTTGTTGTTTTTTTTGTGCATATAAACATGCCGTTTTTTGTAAATACGGGCGTCCATACACGACACTATCAGAAAATAAAAGCAATACTTATAGTTAATTTGAAGCCAAATTACCGAAAATTCAATAAAATATTACATTACGGAGAATATTTTCCTAAATTTTAAGGTTACTGGGTAGTTAAAAATTATCTAAAAAATGCGGTCACGTTATATTCCTCAAATAATTTTTACAGATATGTCCACAGTAGAAAAAATTGAGATAAAATGTCAGGCCATTAACCTGTCAACACCTTAAATAAACAGCTACTGCCGTGTTAAAAAAATGCATTTTTGCGATATTTTGTTTCAAATCAGATTAATTATACTTTAAATCAGTTAATATTCCTGTAATGAATTTTCAGAAAAGTATATTTTATTTCTGAAAGGTTTTTTAACAAATACACGGATATAAGAGAGTTGTCGGGACCGGAGAAGAAGTCTCTTATATCCGGGTTTCTCTTATATCCAGGTTTGGTCTAATTTATATACATTAACATAGGCTCTAATTTGGGACCAGAGAAAATCTCTCTTATATCCGGGTTTCTCTTATATCCGGGTTACACTGTAGAATTGTAATGAAAGATAGCTAAAAATGGCGCTAAAATCAGCAATTTCAAAACGAAAACTCCTTCCAATCAATTTAAATTGATTTTGAAATACAGCAAAGTATTTTGCTTATTGCAAATATTAAATTTAATCTATTAGCTTGAAATTAAAACTAAAATAAAAGTTTCAAGAAAGATTTTTAACTTTTTAAATTCATTTAAAACCATAGGTGTCGCATGTCCGTGAAGGTACCTAATGAAATATAATTATCTGATTTTTACAGTTATTTTTTTTTTGTGTGTGTTTTTTTTCTTGCATCCAACTTTATACTTTTATTGCTCAGCCCAGGCTAGAGGTTGTCCAGGCTGAAAAATTAAGACTATTAATAAATGAATACCAACAAGAACAAGGACAACGAAACGAGAAAAATCTACACACCGAATTTGAAAATTTATGGTTGAATTGGCTAGATGTAATCGTAAGTTCTATGCTAAGTTTCTTTTCTCGTACTCCTTGCTTGTGGAACTCTCTTTTGGCTTCATACTTTCCGGGCAACTTTGATCTTTAAAACTTTAAATGTAATGTCAATCGTTATCTACTGTCTTTCTGATTACTCTTCTATTGTTCTCGCTCCTTAATATTGTTCCTGTTTTCTTCCACTCCCAGTAACCCCTTGTGTCTTAGTGGCTTTACTGCCTTGCCTGGGGTGAATTTGATTAAAAAACAAAAAATACTCGTCCTAGAAATTCAGACTGAAAGTTTTAGCCAGACGAACTGAGTGTTTGACGTCTGCACTTAAGAAACTTTGAAGGGTTTTCATCAGCGAAATTTACGACCTGTTTCACACGGCGAGCCCCTGGAGACGTTTATTTGTTTTATTTATTTATTTATTTATATTTGTTCCGAAAAAAAAAACACTGAAGGAAGGTCACCGACTCAGTAGGTTAGATCCAGGTCCGCAGCAATCTGAACATTTTCTTTCTTCTCAAGTGCTGACCATCTGGACGAACAGACATGTAAACGAACCGGTGTCATTGACGGCAGTATGTATGCATGGGGAAGGGGTGTAACTGAAAAGCAAGTATGATAGACAAGCAATCTTTGAAAGAGATCTCTAACTTCCGCCCCCACCCCCGCAGCTGCTGCCACCCCCGCTACAAAAGAAGAAAAAAAAAACGCGCCAATATTAGGAGCAGCAATGAGACTTATCAGTCAGCTGTTCACGATAACCCTGTCTGGGTGTATCCACGCTCGACTTGCTGTTAGAGACGCGTGTAAATAATACCGAATGTCCCACAAGTCACTAACTAAAAACTGTTTTAAAAATGGAAATATTTTTTTTATTTTACTGTTTTATTTATGGCTGGGTGATTAGAATGCCTTATTATTTTTTTAGCTAATTTCTTTTGTTTTTTTTTGGGGGGGGTTGTGGTTGGGTCAGTGATTATATTTTATTTTTTTTAGCTAATTTGCATTTCTGGAGCTTTTTCTTTTTTATTTGTTCCTTGGTGGGCGGTGGTCTGCTTTATTTTGTTTAGCTATTTTTCTGTGGGTGGCCATTATTTATTTTTTGTTATCATTTTTTTCTTTTCCTTTTTTCTTTTCCATTTGGTGGGTGAATTGATTTATTTTTTTTTTTTATCTAATATTTTTTTTTCCTTTTCCTTGATTCATTTTTCTTTCATTTTTCTTGTCTTTTTCTTTTTCTTTTTTCTTTTCCATTTGGTGGGTGAATCGATTTCTTTTATTTTTTTACCTAATATTTTTTTTTTTCATTCTTTTTTCTTTCCCTTTTGGTGGGTGATTTGATTTATTTTTTTATTTAATATTTTTTGTTTTACCTTTTCCTTTTTTCTTTTTCTTTCTTTTTTCTTTTCTTTTTCTTTCTTTTGCCTGTTACTTTTGTTAGGTGGGTTGATTTATTTTAATTTTCAGCTAATATCTTTTTCTTTTTTCTTTTGATTTTGATTTTACCTGACAATTTTTTTATTTTCATTTTTTAGCTAATGTTTTTTATTTATTTATTTTTGCTGGGTGGGTGGGTAGTTAGCTAACTATATTTTATTTTTTAGCCAATATTTTTGTCTATTCGTTTTTTCTTTTTCTTTGGTGGGTGAGTTTATTTCTTTTATTTTTTAGCTTTTTTTTTTTTCTTTTAATTTTATATTTACCTAACATTTTTTTCTTTTTTGTGTATTGCTTTATTTTTTTAACTAATATTTTTTCTTCCAACTTTTTCACGCGGTATTTAATATATTTAACAGAAAAAACATAGTTATCTCAATTATAAATTCCTTTTAGGTTTATAACCAGGATGTAGAATGACATATATTTTGGGATATAAGTCATACCGATGTATAAAACGCAACCCTAAGAGATAAGGAAATTGAACATAAAATAGGCTGCATTAGGGGCAGTTTCAGCCAATGTCTCACGTTACTCATTTATGTGCCATGACTGATACACGCTCAGGCGATCATGTATCTTTCGATACATGACTGACGAGGCAGAATTTTTTTCACGCAGTAGATTGACAGCGGTAGACCAGTTGCTGTCCAAGGCTATAGAACCCGGTCTGTCCTGCTATTTACCCATAGCTGGGTGGAGAAGAAGATGATTCATACCTTTCGCAAGGGTCAGTTATGTATCATGCGTGGTAAACGCTCAGGCGATCATGTATCTTTCGATACATGATTGACGAGGCAGACCCATAGCTGGGGTTATAAGAGAATTCATATCTTTCCCAAGGGTCAGTTATGTGCCATGCGTGATAAACTCTCAGGCGATCATGTATCTTTCGATACATGACTGACGAGGCAGATTCCCCCCCACCCAGTAGGTTGACATTTCTTTCTGCGGTAGACCAGTTTCTATCCAAGGCTATAGAACCCGGTCTGTCCTGCTATATATGAGATGGGAAGAAGATGATTCATACTTTTCGCAAGGGTCAGTTATGTGCCATGCGTGATACACGCTCAGACGATCATGTATCTTTTGATACATGACTGACGAGGCAGATTTTCTTTTTCCCGCAGTAGGTTGCTATTTCTTTTTTGCGGTAGACTAGTTGCTATCCAAGACTATAGAAACCTGATATTTGCCCATAGCTTGGAGGGGGGGAGAGGAGAAGAGTATTCATACCTTTCCCAAGGGTATTAGCACGTAAGTGAATGTAATGGATTCGACTGGAATTCGAACTCAGCTCACCATTACTCCACCGTGCCTCACGTTACAACAAAACCGAAACATTAGATAAAAAAACTCAAGTAATCCTCCGAAGTAATCACATCAGATCGAGACATATATATATATATATATATATAGATAGATAGATAATATTAGTGGTCAATATGCATATATATATATATATATATATATATATATATATATATATAATATATATATATATATATATATATATATATATATATATATATATAAATTCCGAGATGATAGAATCCAGTTAGAACTCAATGTCCAGGACAGAGTCTGTTTTTTTAATTTTAATGTAGGTCAGCGATTCGGTAGCGAATTATGCATCGAAAAATAATTCATAGTTATCTGTATCTCACTCATTTAAATCCTTATTTAACTCCTCTCTTTAAAATTTCACTCTGTTAAATTTTAATCCCCACCTTCACCTTTAGGTCTTTCCTGTTCTTCTTTCTTCCATTACACCCCTGTCTAAAGCTTTCATACATCTCATTTTCAAACTTGTTTCCCACTCCTACACATACACTCTCACTAAAATTTTGTTTTTTATACCCGGAGTTATATTTTCCGATTTCTTTTTGAATTTGTAGGTCTGATGAATTGGATCGTGATTACGATTCCAATGTAATAAATTATAATCAGGGAATATTAGTGTTTGATCCTTTTTTATTATATATATATATATATATATATATATATATATGTGTGTGTGTGTGTGTGTGTGTGTGTGTGTGTGTGTGTGTGATGCATGGCACCAAAACCCGTTCAGAAATATCTAAACTTTCGGCTATAAACAACCACTTTCTCAGATCGATGGTCATAAACGGCTTCGGGCGATCCTTAATCGAACCTCGTGGAGTAGGGCAACAGAGAAACTATACCGGATATCATTAACCACATCACACGAGGACTTTCAACAGCGGCAACAACTAAAACGCATAGCACCTGAATCGTAAATAAAGACATAAGACGCTAACGTTCCACTCTACGTCAGACAAAAGTCAAGGAAGGAAAACTCCATCAATATTACAAAGAGCACTAAAAGCGCCTGGACATGTGAAGCCAATATTCCCGGAAAATCATCTTAATAGAAAGATTTTATAAATTTCAACCGACAGCAAGTCTAAAGGCATAGCCAATGAATGCTGAATGTTTCCTTATAAGGAAACGGATAATATAAGCATTTAGCATAACCATTAAACCACCTGTCGTCAGAAGTGAACTTGCTTAAGATTTAGTCTAGTTTGAGTTGTAGCTGCTTCTAAGTACAAAATTGTGTATAAAGTTAAGTTTATTGTTGCGTGTACCGTATTTTGCTTAAGTATAAAATTGTGTATACAATTAAGTATATTATCGTATGTACTGTATTTTGCTGTTGATAAAACACATTTTTAAGACTGCATTGTGTATACAATTTGTGTATTGTGGCTTATAAGTATAAAATGTGTATACAATTAAGTTTTATCGTCGTGTGTACCGCATTTTGCTGCTTAGCTTATAAAATATAAGGTTATAAGTATAAAATTATGTATACAATTAAGTCAATAGTCGTGTGTACCGTATTTTGCTGCTTATAAGACGCATTTTAAAGACTGCATTGTGACGAATTTCTCATGATTAGTCTAGTTTTTCATGCGGAAATATGCTATTCGGTGCGTCTTACCACTGATGATTGCTTCGATAAAATTCTTCGATACCTAATGTAGGAAATATTATCAAGTTATTAAGAAAAATAATTATTTCCTTTAATTTTTGATGGTCCTGGTAAACCAGTGATTATTTAATATACTGTAATATGTAAAAAAAAAAACAAAAAAACAAAAACAAGGACGGTCTAGGGCAGGGGTTCTCAAACTGAGCGGTGCGTTTCATAGGTGCGTCGGAAGAGGATAGCAGGTGAGGTGGAAGAGGATAGCAGGTGCTACGAAAGGGGATATCAGGTGAGGCGGAAGATGATAGCAGGTGCTGCGAAAGGGGATAGCAGGTGAGGCGGAAGATGATAGCAGGTGCTGCGAAAGGGGATAGCAGGTGAGGCGGAAGAGGATAGCAGGTGAAGCGGAAGATGATAGCAGGTGAGTCGGAAGAGGATAGCAGGTGAGGCAGAATGATCAAAGCAGTTCCAAAAAATATATATTAACTAGGCTCCGCAAATTAGAAAAGAGCCTTATCAATGATAATTTTCTCACCATGAATCCGCAGTTATCTCCCTTTAAACTTTTCTCCGCACCTTCTTTGCCGTAGGGCTGCTTGCGCCTTTTCAGTTTTGACAAATATCAAAAACCCAATCCTTGTGTTGACGAGGAGATGAGAGTTTGTTTATCTCACATCCTAATATATAGGAGATTACCCGTCAAAAACAAGCTCACATCTTTCATTAAATTTCTGTACTTTAATACTATTAGAAGTTATTTGTGTTATATATTATATTTAACGCACTAGTAGTCGTGTTTTTATATATATATTTCAATGTACATTTTATCACATAAAATTTGTTGAGACGCGAGCAAGTTTTCATTCCGAAAATGCGGCCCAGAGAAAAACAGTTTTGGGAAGCACTGGTCTAATGGTTTCAAGCATTAGTTCGTGAATTTCTTGGTTTATCGTGTTGTACTAGACAATTTCTGCTGCCAGAATCTATCTTACACTTTTACAAATCTACTATTCGCTCATGTAACTGTAAGCCCGAGTCTTTTGAACAGGAGTAGAGGTTTATCCCTTGTTTCCTGTTTAGGATTGGGTTTCCGGTTCCTTCTAAAGTTTAATTTAAATCTATGCTTCTAACGTCGCCACCTAAAACTCTGATTTTTTTTATTTACTTTTTTTTCCTCGATAGGAGTAGGTAGGTTCACCTGTTATCCTCATCCGCCTCACCTGCTATCCTCTTCCGCCTCGCCTGCTATCCTCTTCCGCCTCACTTGCTATCTTCCTCCGCCTCGCCTAATATCCTCTTCCGCTTCACCTGCTATCCTCTTTTGCCTCACCTGCTATCCTCTTCCGCCTCGCCTGCTATCCTCTTCCGCTTCACCTGCTATCCTCTTCCGCCTCACCTGCTATCCTCTTCCGCCTCGCCTGCTATCCTCTTCCGCTACACCTGCTATCCTCTTCCGCCTCGCCTGCTATTTTCTTCCGCTTCACCTGCTATCCTCTTCCGCTTCACCTGCTATCCTCTTCCGCCTCGCCTGCTATCCTCTTCCGCCTCGCCTATCCTCTATCCTTCTTCCTCTTCCGCTACACCTGCTATCCTCTTCCGTCTCACCTGCTATCCTCTTCCGCCTCGCCTGCTATCCTCTTTCGCAGCACCTGCTATCCTCTTCCGCCTCACCTTTTTTTTTTTTAACTCAATAGGAGTAGGTAGGTTAAATCGTCCGGTTTAAATAATACAAATATCCCCACCCCGTTGCCTTACTGAATTTGTCCATGTTTTTTTTGTTTTTTGTTTTTTTTGTCCTATATATATATTTTTAAAACTTTCTCTGCCAACTTTTCTTATGTTTTTTTGTTCCTTTCTTTATTATGTTTTTTATTTCTTTTCTTCTTTTTTTTTCTCCTTTCTTGGTGTTTTGAAACAAAGCTTTTGGTTTTTTTTTATTTTTTTTATCCAATTCCACGCCGGTCATGAGAAAAAAAGAAATCGTAGCAGCAAAGCATAAGCCAAACGACTGTTCTCCATTCGGGCAACTTCACGTTAAAACTGTTTTAAGAAATGTTTCCTTTGTGGTCGAATGAGAAAAATCATCGTCGCAATCGAACAGAAGCCTTTCCTTTTGCAGTACTTGCTGCTATTCTAAGTTATTAATTGATTTTTCTCATTTGGGGTTTGGCCCACGTATTTTTATTTATTTATTTATTTATTTTGTTTCCCCCGGGAGTGTACATTAAGAAGAAGATGAATTGACAGATCAGGACCTAATTGATTTGGAAGAAAAGAAAGAACAGCGAGGGAAAAAGAGAAGAAAGAGAAGTTGAAAAAAAAAAAAAAGAAAAAAAATGGGTGTTAGAAAATACTTTCTGGAAAAGGATTATCATTTGAACTTTTTCCAAATTAAATGCCTTTCTTCGATCATGGATCGAAACTTGGAAGTCGATAGACAGATTCAAAAAGCAACGTGATGTTACTATCTCTCTCTCTCACTATCTCTCTCTCTCTATATATATATATATATATATATATATCTATATATATATATATATATATATATATATATAACTAAAGGTCTGTGAATCGTGAGTACGTCGGCCGCATAATGATTTAAGTTTCTTTCCACCTCTCTCTTTCTAACTCTCTCTCTCTTTCTATCTCTCTCTCTCTTTTCATCTTTCTCTCTTTCCATCTTTCTCTCTTTCCACCGACCTCTTTCCATATTTCTCTCTTTCCACCTCTCACTTTCTAACTCTCTTTCCACCGACCTCTCTCTCTTTCTACCTCTCTCTCTCCGTCCAACACTCTCTCCTTTTTCACTTCTCTATTTTCACCTCTCTCTTTCTATGTCTCTTTCTCTTTCCTCCTCTCTATTTCCATCTCTCTCTTTCCCTCTCTTTCCACCACTCTCTCTTTCCACATCTCTGTGATTGGGTGAGTGCTTATTTATATTTCAGCTTTCGTCAAACAAACAATGTTTTAAATATTTAAAAATATTTTTTGCCAGATTTTAAAAATAAAAAAATAATTGAATATGATTTTAAAATATCTTTTGGCATATTAAAAATGTTTTTAAGTTAATCTGATTTTAAATATATTTCAAGTGAATAAGATTTAAAAATACGAATTGTTTTTACAGTAATTATTTTTATTTTAACTTTCTCCAAAACAGACATTTTTTTTTAATATTGATATCAACTTCAATGTTTTTTAAAACGTTGAATCGCCAGTGACCCAACGGGTATTCGTCTGTGTATGCGTGTCCGGATTAAACTCCAACATTACAATAACATTGGAAAACTGCAGATTGCGCGTGACCTACCGTAATTCCTCAAGTATAATGCGCATTCATCCATAATGCGCAAGCCTAAAATTGTGTTGAAAATGTGGGAAAATTCTTCTACTCACGCATAATACGCACCCCTTGTTTGGTAATCAAACCCTATAAATTGTACCTCTCCAATTTTATTATCGCCAGCGTTTCCTGCTCTTATTCAAGCTGTAATTGAAGATATTTATCAAAATTTCCGATCATCACGATTCTAAAAGGAAACGGAAATATTTATATTGTGCCTACTGCGCAGACTCATTAACCTGTTTTTGTTCGATAAAATGTACAATCTACCGGATCTGTATGTAGTTTTTCACAAAAAATGGTTTTAAACACAGAACAATATTATTCTAATTTAGTTTTATGATAATTTTTATTTTATTTTACATTTGTAAGTATTGTTAGGTACATATGATTGTATTTGACATCCTTATGGGGTCACAATCGCCGAATGTTAGTGTCAAATTGTATGTTTGTTGTGAGTTGTCATTTCGCAACTGAAATCGACCTACGAAACGGCAATTTTTTAAAGATATTTTGTAGCTGTGCATAATACACACCCCTAATTTTGCTTATTATTTTTTAGAAAAAGTGCGTACTATACATGGGGAATTACGGTATTTTCTTTTCTGAATGGCACGTCTAATTCCACGAGGAAACTAATGTTTATCAAAAAAAATGTTTTTATTTTCTCACTTGTTCACTCACATTGTCTCATACATAACCACACACATAAACAAGGATTAATTTAAGCAGAATTTTTATTGAATTTTGTAACCTTTCGTTAATGATAACTTTTTAATCATTTTGATGTTAAACCATTAACGATTTTAACTACGGAAGATCATACATGGAAACAGCTTTTGAAACAGGAAAACTTCATAAGATTTTTTTTCTCTAAACAAGAAACGTTTTCATTTTCAAATGAATAGATATGAAATAAATCCTATACAGCGACAAATATTAATCACGCTGTCATCAGTGAAAATATTAGCCCAAGACTTTCAATATTTTCTTTATAGTAAAATCTTTTCTCCAGAGGAAAAAAAAAACAACTTTTCTTCTATTTCTAATGTATATCTTACACATATGTAGACCGTAGGTTCACACTTCATCCTTAATTTTTGAACAGGAGTAGAGGTTTATCCACTGTTTCCTGTTTAGGATTGAGTTTTTGGTTCTTTCTCAAATCTACTTCAAATCTGTTCAGAGTAAATCACATTTTCTGCATTTTCAACCATTGGCGTTTTTCACTAAGGAAGATCATCCGTGTAAACATCCTTTGAAACAGGAATCATTTATCAGAATGAATTTTCTCTAAACAAGAAATGTTTACATTTTCAAATGAATAAATTAGAAATAAATTATAAGCAGCGACAAGTGTTAATCAAAGTTGCCATCAGTTATAATATTAAACCAAGAGCTTATACCAAGAGCTTATACCAAGACCTTATACCAAGACCTTATACGAAGAGCTTATACCAAGACCTTATACCAAGACCTTATACCAAGATCTTATACCAAGAGCTTATACCAAGACCTTATACCAAGAGCTTATACCAAGACCTTATACCAAGAGCTTATACCAAGACCTTATACCAAGACCTTATACCAAGAGCTTATACCAAGACCTTATACCAATACCTTATGCCAATACCTTATACCAAGACCTTATACCAGGAGCTTATACCTTATAGCAAGACTTCAATTTTTCTTTTAATTATAGAAAAACATTTTCTCCAAAAATAAAAAGAAAATTCCTGCATTTCTAAGCTATCATAATCAGACCTTCGACTGTTTCACTCGTCGGGGTTCAGGGGATCTGAGAGCAAAGGAAACAGATTTTTGATCAGCCTCATTTCTTCCGTGTTTCAAATGTAAGAAGAAAGTTACGTACAGGGCGCTTTTTCAAAGAACTGTCATTTTTGTATTGCAGGATCCCGCTTAGGTGCTTCCATGAACACTACAGTCTCTTCAAGTCAAAATTCAATCCACATCACGTTGAAACACATGTTCCCGCACGATCACCAAAGTTAAGCAACGTCGTGCCTGGTCAGTAACCAAGACTTATACCAAGACTTTCATTTTTTTAATTTTGAACCATTGATGATTTTCACTAAGGAAGATCATATGTGTAAACATCTTTTGAAGCCGGAAACGTTCATAAGATTTTTTTTCTCTAAACGCTGCTATGTGTAATTTGTTTTAATTTATTCATTTGAAAATACAAAAAATAATGTTTTTTTTTTAAAATATATATATATATTTCTTCTCCAGAGAAAAATATTACGAACGTTTCCGGTTTTTAAAGCAAAAGATATTTGCACGTATGACCCTCCTTAGTAAAAATCGGCAATGGTTGAAAATTAAAATTTGAAAGTCTTGGAATAAGGTATAAGGTCTTGGTATAAAGACTTGGGCTAATATTGACACTGATGGCATTAACACATGTCACTGCGTGGGATTTATTTTATTCATTTGAAAATGTAAACATTTCTTGTTCAGATAAATAAAAATAAAAAATTAAAAAATAAAATAAATGAATAATGGCAAGTAAAATAATATAATGCAAATAAATAAATGAATAAATAAACAAATAAACGACTTCCGGCAAAATAACCGCCAAAATAGACTACCCACAATGCACCACCAACCCATGTATATAAATAGCCGAGAAAAATAACAGCACTCATGGCCTGACGATTGCGTCTAGCATGAAACAGACTGTCGCCTCTAAGTGTTGACTTCAATGCCATATATATATATATATATATATATATATATATATATATATATATATATATATATATATACGTGTGCAGGAAAAATGGAGAAACAGACTATTTTGCTTCCTAGGTCGTAGATATGTTACTCTGGCGTTCAGTGACAGATTCATTTATCTTGACAGTGAACACGAGCCAGACTGCTTATTATCCAATGAAAATTGAAATAATGATTAGACAATTCTCGACGCTAATTGCATTAAGCGTTTTGATTGGTCAAACTCATTGCGCAGTTGAAATCCATAATATTCTTATAAATAACACATTAAAATGAACTAAACTACGCGTGCCTATTTAAATATATTTACATATGTATATCATATATATATATATATATATATATATATATATATATATATATATATATATATATATATATATATATTTATATATATAGTTATATATATGTGTGTGTGTGTGTGTGTGTGTGTGTGTGTGTGTGTGTGTGTGTGTGTGTGTGTGTGTGAAAGCCATATATATATGTATTATTCTTACTTTCGGAGTCTAGTACGCTATCTGATTTTTAAACTAAATCTTTTAGTAATGTAAGTGCGTTTTTATATACTGAAAAATATGATAATATTGGTAGTTTATATATATATATATATATATATATATATATATATATATATATATATATATATATATATATGTGTGTGTGTGTGTGTGTGTGTGTGTTCTGGTGCGAGGGTCTCGAGCCTCGTACTGAATCTATAACACGTCCCCGATCTATGATACGAACCCCAAGCGCACACAAACACACACTATATTACATGTCAATTTTCCTAAGGTAATATTCATATAAAATACAAATTTTATTGCAATAATGGATGATATGAAATATAGCTGAACAATTCAAAAATTGAAAATAAATACAATGTATCTATATACAAATTAGAGACATTTCCTCAATGATCATTCCATCTTTATTATAAATGCGAATGTCAGTGTGTCACACTTTTTCAACTTTACTCGAAGAGGCCATAGCCCAACATATACCATTTTGGAACCAGATCAACTCCGTGAGCAAATTAAAAAATCATTCCAGGCTGGACCCGAACCTGTAATACTGAAATTTTGGATTCCCAAGTTTTCATTATTGAGATTGTTTTCGGTTTCCGCCATCTTGGCTTCTACTGCTAAAAACAATAAAATGGACACAACTTTCTAACTTTCAATAGTTCATGTTCAAATCAAAAAATACTGTTCTCAAATTACAGGATTTCAAAATAAAATTATCCGTGTTTTCAACTATACACCTACAGGCCCAATATGTCATACCATTTTGGAATCAGGTCAACAAGGTGAGCAACTTAAAAACATTCTGGATCCAGACCCGCAATCCTGAAATTTGGGATACCATAGTTTTCATTATTGCGATTGTTTTCGGCGATTTTTTACATGATGTTTTTACTACGAATTTTTTGTACGATAAAAGTTTTTATAACGTGAAAATAAATTTGGGTATAATCGAAATTAATTACGAAATCCAGCGAAGATCACTCATGAAATAAAAATAATTGTTTGTACGTTTGAAAGTAAGGACCTACGTACATCAAAATGTCTTTAAATTAAAATGGCGGCAGAAGAATTATCTTTGGACTTTTAAAAGGTAAGCTTAAATATTAATGCAATACTTAAATGCAGCAATCAATTTTGAGTTCTTCTGTAGTTTATTGTTGCCTATCGCATCTATTCCTCCCTAACTATTGTGATGACGGTCAAACCAAGAGTCCTCCACAGCAGCTAGCTTAAATGCTGCCTGATACGACGGTTTTTAAGCTAGTCTACAATGTTTTGCAGCAGTGTTTA